GTTCTTTGGCTTTGAATAACTTACCTGGGACTTTGCAATGCCGATTGAGGATATGGCACCGACTTGGTTCCTTCAACGCTAGATATGTCCTGCGAGTGTGCACGAAGCCAATCATACGAATAAAGTCCCGTGTGATTATCAGACCCTGTGGCGGTGTTAGTTCTGATAGTAATTCAAAGTTATGCATTTCGTCTCTCACACTTGATCTTGACCATATTGTCACTGTGCTCGATTGATTCTATCTTAACGTTTTGTGGAATCTGTAGGGGTAGTATTAGAGAACATGTAACACAAGGAGCCGGAAGTTTCCTACCGAGAAAGTGTCGCTTATCCTCTGCATCGTATCCGGATGAATACATTTGGGACACTGGCAGTTTTCTCTAGTCGTGGGCACCAAGTTGTCAATAAGAGGTCGAGGTCAAGCTTCTGATTTTATATCCTGGTCACTAACCTGAGGAAAAAACGACCGCTGCAAAATCGAAGTCAGCTGCTATTCACCTTCTTTGGACTTACGGCAAACTTACAAGTTTAAGGGGATTTCCAGATCCTTTCTGTCCTTACCTGGAAAGGTTACTATATCGGACTTAGACCAAGCAACCTGAGGGCCATTCGAGGCCATCTTGGTGTTCAGCAATCTTGAGGAACCAGTGACATGTCGGTGGCCAGTTGTCTATGAACAACAGAACAGAGAGATCGAGTTAGTTTTTTTGTAATCGACTCTGGTTTATATGATGTACTAAATCCATACCAAATCACTAGCAAGGGAATAGCGGGGTCTCAGGCTCTTGGGTCTAATCCGAGAGGGTTTCAGCGTTGAACGTTCAATTAGACATGAATGGGAGTTCCTACCCGGCGCGACTCCACAGCCCACTCGGCCTGAACGCTGTGCGCCAACTGAAGCTCATGATCGGTATAGAGAAAGAAGGGAGGGTCAAGGACGAGGAGATATGTAGCAGTGCTTGGCCAATTTTTGTAGGGTGGGACAACCGAGGTTGCGGTCACGTGCATATATATATAAGGAACTATACGGACATCAATAAGTTCACTTTCTACGAAAATGGCACGTGGTGATAAAGAAGGTATTTGCTATATACCTAGGTATGTATTTTTACATGCCATTGAACCGAGCTTTGGCATAACCAATCACAGCTTGCTCTTCGCTCCCGTCACCTTCAACAGACAACGGCCATTGCTCAACACAACCCGACCCTTGTCATTCTTAGTAACAAAGCGGATCTCTTCATAGCCATCCTGGACATTGCCCATTCTCCAGATCTCAGTGGTAAGCTTATCGCCGGGCCGGACGGGCGAGGCAAAGCGAGCCTGGAACTCCTTCATATTGGCAGGGTTGCTACCACCGAGTTCCCGCAGAATCCCATGTGCGGCTGAATTCCAGCTGAAAAGGCCGTGGACAATAATACCACCAAAGCCCATCTTCTTGCCGGGCTCTGGTGTGGCATGGAGAGGATTGTAGTCACCGTTGAGACTGGGCAAGGAGTTAGCATCAGATGTTTCAAGTATACAAGCTGAATTCTGTTTGCACCGAGTACTTACCGGTACAGGTGGGCTGTCTCAGAATTGCTCTGAATAACATGGGTAGCGTCAGGAGCCCTGCCCTCGGGCGGGGGATAGTTGACGGTGCTAGGTCCTGCTCGAATACGTCAGTTGATACTCTATGCTGGATAAGGGAACTATAATCTTACCCTTCGGGCCACCCCAGCCACCCTGTCCGACTAGGAAACCGCTACTCACGACCTTGGTGTAGACCTCGCCGCTCTCCTTATCCACAATAGACTGCTCGGTCTCGATCACAGTACCAGGTTTGCCTTTATCATAGACACCAATAACCTTATTGCGTAGCTCAAACTTACGCCCTGCACTAGTGGTAGGGAGCGGCTTCAGGATCGTGATCTTACGCTGGCCATCGACGCCATGACGATGGTCCAGGTCAGGGACGCCTGGAATGTGAACTGCCTTTTGGCGGGCATAGAAATCAGTCACCTCCTGATCAGTGAGCTTGAATGCTAATGGCTTTGGAGTTAGTGCTGCCCGACCATTCCTTGGGCGATCAACATACGGAGGATGAGAGAATAGGTTGGGAAGACCGAGAAGTTCGGGTGGAGTTCCTGGATACCAGTTAGAATAATATTTAGACTAGTATATATATATGTGGCTTGTGGCATACATAGAGGAAGTGTAGCTCATCGGCCTTGACACCAATGCTGTTGGCGAACAATAGCACATCGCGCTTCTGCCAAGAAACCTCTTGGGCGGGGAATTCGTGACCAGCTCCAGGGGCCGACATTGGGATGGTAGTACGAAGGAGATATGAATATAAGATCAGATAAAAAAAAAAGAGGGTCAAGGGTAAGGGAAATAAAGAAAATAAAGGAGATGGCACACTAAAGTAGCTCCGGTAATTGCGGGGGCCATCGAGGAGCCGAGGATCTGATAATTTCTTTGGATTTGTTGCCGTGGGTTTGCCGATGAGGGCCTCTTCTTGGCACAATTTCCCCCTGCAGATCTTATATTCTTTTCTGTTAGGTCGCTGAAAGCTTTTTCAACCAATGGTGTCGTCTACATCGTAGCGTGGAAAACATGTCCAGAAGAAGAGCGTTGGAGTTTGCTAGACTAAGCATCGACTCGGGTATCTACCTGGAAATTCGAGGAGCTTCAGAATTATATCCCTCCGTTCGCGCCACAAAATGCATTTTTTCCTGCCTCCCGAGAATTAAACGCCGAAATAAACAAAGGCGAAACCAGATGTCCGATTCGCCTCGGGCAATTTCATACATGCCCATGCCAGGATGCATTGCGAGACGAAAATATTTCACTTAGACCGTGCAAACGTACAGTTGTACATCCCAATGACATCAAATTAGAGAAAAGTGGAAGAAAATTAACACCTATGATGCATTAGTATAATGACCTCAAGAACTAATTAGAGCAAAATGGCAGAAGAACTTACATGCGGTAGAAGCAGCCACCTTCAGCAGCGCGGGTGGCATCGGGGGTCTCGAACTTGTACGAGATGCTGATATCCAAGTCACGCTTGTTTTTATCGTTAGGGCGGTTCTCGACCCAGCCGGTAACACGCTCGTCCTCCTCGACAGTGAGGACATCACGGAGGTAGAACACGGTCTGCTTCCAGTGGGTGTACTTGGCGTGAGGGCCAGTGGAGAAGTGAATGGGCTTGTGGCAGGCGCTGAACTCGATGTCGAACCAGGCGATCAAGGCGTGAATGAAGTCGGGGCGCTTGGCCGTGAGGGCATAAGGAACCTTGAATGCAAGGTCGGCCGTGGTAACGGTGTTCAGATCAAAGGTGATGATCGGGCAGGGATCAGTCACAAGAGCCTTCATCTCGACAGTATCGACGAGGGGCTCGTTGAGAGCAATCTCCTTCATGGGGCTGTAGTCAAATCCGTAGACGTTGTCCCAGACTGAAAATGGTCAGTACATCGAAGAAAAACAGTTTCGGGGTAGACTTGTTGCTTACATCCAATCTTATCATCCTTGTAATCGCCATCCTCAATACCAGCAACATACATGGTGGCCTTATCGGGGAAGATCAGACCACCGCGGTTGAGGTAGGTGTCACGGGCGTAGAGAACGGTATCCAACATGGACTCGTAGAGAAGGAAGTAACCCATCCACTCGGAGATGATGATATCAACCTTGGGGAAAGGAAGGTTAACTTCCTCCATCTTGCCCTGGAGAAGAGTGATCTTATCGGATAGTCCGTTGACATCGACAATCTGACGGGCCTTCTCGATGATGGAGGACATATCGACACCAATGACGTGCTTTGCGCCAGCACGAGCAGCAAACCTGTTAAACAAACAGTCAACAAGAGATCTAAGAGCACGGGGTTGTTAATCAAGCGGATACATACATGCTCAGAATACCAGTTCCACAGCCGACATCGAGGACGATCTTGTCCTTGAAGATGTGGCGGTTTTGGTAGATGGAGTCGCGGTAGGAGCGTGTGCGCACATCATCTTTCTAGAAGGTAGAAAATGAATGTTAGAGACTGGAAATAGCCAACTAGCCAGTGGATTTGTACTTACAAGCATCTCCTCGTGGATACCTGCGGCCCAAAAAAATGATCGTTAGTAAAAAGCACATTAAAATTTCGCTATCATGGATCGAGATAGTTTACCGTGGTGGTCGTAACTATAAATGTATTAGCATCAACTTCCAACATACCCAATCAACGGAGAATAGCGTACCTAGTGAAGTAGCGGACTTCAGAGTGCTCCATGCCAACCATGCGATCAGCACTGCTGGTGATGCCCTGAGGGCTATCGGATCCGGTATCCATCTTGACTGTGCGAAAAAAAAGAACGGGTCGAAAAGGAAGAATCGAAAAGAGTAAAAAAAATGTCAATAGGAAGGATGTCAAAGATAAAAGTCCAACAGAGATCGATCCGTAACTTTTTTTTTCTGGATTATTTGCCCGCCCGCCAAGCTTAACTCCAATCCCCGCCCGCACTAGCCGTAATTGGAGATCACGTGTATATACACGTGACACACGTGATATCACTTGCCCTCATTTCTATAGGGCTATCTGCGTGGCATAGTTGTACAGCTATATTGTAGGGAGTTCTAATCATACTAATGCATACCTACATCCTATTTGAGTGGCATCCGTGTGAAGAATAGCGCTTCTTCAAGGATAACTAGCATCAATTGACGATATCTAATATTCAAAGTAGATTACTTGCGCCATTGACCCTGCCTTTCCTCTCGAGTGAACTACCAAGATCTCCAAGTTATAACGCCATATGACAAGGATGATAAACAAGGCCAATCCCACTTCCATTGAGGTTGAATAAAGTAGATCAATGATGTCGCTGTGGGGTAAACAAAAGAGCTGGTTTGATCTTGCCAAGACCACCGAGGGAGGCTCTTCGATGCCGGGAGCTCCGCCTTACCTGTCATTCTTCCCCAAGCTTACGCGTTGAACGCCTAAGACCTTGGAGCTAACCTTTTGGCCCACAATGAATCTGGGCGTAGGAAAAGTGAATCTTTACACTCTTTTCGCTCTCGTTTTTCTGGCCTCCCTCATTGGCAAGTCCAACGCGTCATTAGGAGACCACCTCCCCGACTTCAAAGAATGTGTCCAGGTACGACGACCGCGACCAACAGACCCTTGGAAACGACTAACAATCATAGGTCTGTAAAACGGAAAATTGTCAGAACGGCAATTCAGTGCTACGTATGTCAAATCATTGTTTCAACTGTTCGCCGTGTTTCCCCTTTGCTGACCTATTTAGCTCTGCACCTCCGCTTGCTACTATGGACCTGCCCTGCTGAATGTGACTACACCTGTCAACATGTCATTACCGACCGTCGAGTTTCGCGTGATCCTCCAATGATCAGCCCGATTGTACAATTCCACGGGAAATGGCCGTTCCGTAGGCTCCTAGGGATGCAGGAGCCCTTCTCGGTGCTCTTCTCGTTCTTCAACTTCGCCGCCCACTGGCACGGCATGTCCCGTATCCAAGAGTCGATCCCTAGTTGGCACTCACTCCGCCCATACTACATGATGTTTGGATACATTGGACTCGCAAGTTGGAGTTTCAGCATGTTATTCCACATGCGCGATTTCCCCTTGACCGAGAAACTGGACTATTGGGCGGCTGGCGCCAACGTGCTGTTTGGTCTCTACCTTGCCGTCATTCGAATCCTCCGCCTGGACCTCGAAAATCCTCCATATCGGCCAACCCTGCGTCGACTTTGGACTGCTATCTGCGTTCTGCTATATTTATTGCACGTGTCTTATCTTACCTTCTGGTCTTGGGACTACACCTACAATATGATAGCGAACGTAGTGGTTGGCATTATCCAGAACCTTATGTGGACCGGGTTCAGTATCTTCCGATACCAAAAACATTTGAAGTCTTGGACCGCCTGGCCTGGTATGATTGTGGCGTGGATAATCATGGCTATGAGTTTGGAGTTGCTCGATTTCCCCCCTTGGAATGGGTTGATTGACGCGCATAGCCTCTGGCATCTGGGTACAGTGGTCCCCGCTGTGTGGTGGTATTCGTAAGTCCCCCACGTTCCAACGACACAATACGTTTTCGTGACTAATGCATCGGTTGGTCCCGACAGGTTCCTGATCAGGGACACACAGGACGATATTGCGGCGCATAGGCTCAAGGCATGAAGAGGATCAAAATTTGGCGAAATTCGGCGATCTTTATATATAGATATACATCCCCAGGATAGCATAGACATACTAATATTGTCATGCTTGACTGTAGCTTAGACGTGGAGGTAGCAGTAATGAAGGTTGGAGTGCTCCCCACCAGAATGTTTTTCGTTGCAGTTAATTTCCACGGCGTCTAATGCGGGTAAATATGTTATTACCACGTCCCTTGCCGTGCATTGGTCTGTAGCTCCCCGCCATTCGCTCACCGCTAAGGCCGTCGCAATAATCCATGTCTCACCCCTCAGCCGCTTTTTTTTTGTTTCGAGTACTCCCCTCTTCTTCGACCTCGACTTTACCTGAAGCTTCGGAGTACCTCTTCTCTTGAAACCTATCACGGTGCTTTATAACTAATCACACATTTGCGCAATGGCCTCTCCGGCTGTCAAGAAAGCAATCACTGATGCGGCGTTGCAGTACACAAAGCCCGAGGGCAAGGTATTTGGGTATGGCACAGCAGGGGTATGTTTGTATGAACATCCTACTCTAGCGACTCGGCTAACTTTCGTTCTCTCCCTTATAGTTTCGCATGAAAGCGTAAGTTTCTTCAAACATGGCTGATCCACTCCGCCTCCACATCTCTAGAACCCCGCGATCATCCTTTTGTTTACGCCGACTTGTTCTGACCAATCTGGCTGCGCAGTGACCTCCTCAACACCGTTGTTTTTGCAGTGGGCTTGCTTGCAAGCCTGCGGTCGAAGAAGCTTAGCGGACAATGGATTGGAGTTATGGTTACTGCTAGCCACAACCCCGCAGAGGACAATGGTGTCAAGTTGGTTGACCCTATGGTGAGTTAACCCATTGAGTCCTGCCATAGAACCGGCCCCATTAGACAAGTCTAACCTTATATTTTATTTAGGGCGAGATGCTTGAAGTAAGATTGGCCTGCGTTGAAAGACCGAATTTGGAATACGTACTCACTGTCATAACTAGGCTGAGTGGGAGGCGTACGCGACAAAACTGGCAAATGCCCCATTGGATAAGATCGCCGATGTCTACGACGAACTCGTCAAGGAAATCGACGTGACCATGACCAACCCCGCTCGTGTGGTCTTCGCTCGTGACACCCGTGCTTCTGGCTCCCGTCTGGTAGGCGTTCTGAATGCCGCGCTTACCGCGACGGAGGTCGAGTTTGTGGACTTTAAATACATGACCACCCCGCAGCTCCATTATGTTGTTCGCTGCAAGAACACACTTGGAACACAATATGAGTATGGCGAGCCGACTGAGCAAGGATACTATGAGAAGCTTGCAAACTCCTTCCAGAAGGTTATGCGGGGAGTCAAGGTCCAGGGTTCTTTGACTGTAGACTGTGCCAATGGTGTCGGTGGACCTAAATTGAGGGAACTGATGAAGTACCTCACTGGAATCGATATTAAGATTGTCAACGATGATGTGATCAACCCTGACGCCCTGAACTCTGATGTATGCTTCCACCTGCCCAGCACACAAATTTTGATCAAACTAACACTTCATTTAGTGCGGTGCCGACTATGTTAAGACCAAGCAACGTGCTCCTCCTTCTTCCAAAGCTGCCGTGCTCGATCGATGTGCCTCGCTTGACGGTGACGCCGATCGTATTGTTTACTACTTCCAGGACGACAGCAACGTGTTCCGTCTTCTGGACGGGGACCGCATTGCCACCCTTGCGGCGTCTTTCATTGGCGATCTTGCCCGTAATGCTGGAATTGCTTCGAAGCTGAAAATTGGTGTTGTCCAGACCGCCTATGCCAACGGCGCAAGCACAGATTACATTGAGAAGGTCCTCAAGCTGCCCATTATCTGCACCAACACCGGCGTGAAGCACCTCCACCACGCCGCACTGCGGTTCGATGTTGGCGTCTACTTCGAGGCCAACGGACATGGTACCGTCACCTTCTCCGAGAATGCCCTAAAGGTTATCAAGAACACCGAGCCTCAATCGCCGGCGCAGCAGCACGCCCTGGAGAGCCTTCAGGCCCTGACCGACCTGATTAACCAGGCTGTCGGTGATGCCTTGTCCGACGCTCTTCTTGTGGAGGCCATCCTCGCCCACAAGGGCTGGTCACCCAAAGAGTGGCTTGGCACCTACACCGACCTTCCTTCGCGCCTCGTGCGTGTCGAGGTCAATGACCGTTCCATTTTCAAGGCATATGATGCTGAGCGTAAGCTAGAGTCTCCCGCTGGCCTGCAGAGTACTATTGAGTCTCTTCAGTCTCGATACAACAAGGGCCGCAGTTTCGCCCGTGCCAGTGGTACCGAAGATGCCGTCCGCGTGTACGCTGAGGCTGCCAGCCGCTCCGAGGCGGACGACCTTGCCACTCGCGTCGCCAACGCTGTTAGCGAGGCAGGCAGCGCCTAATAGATTCCCTAGTCCAAATTTGATTCTTGGCCCTGACAAATGCCCCTAGGGACCGCTGTTTCTCTAGGCTGTATTGAAATTATTACACTAGCCTGTGCGGCTTTAGGCAGCGAATACCTCTTCAACTCTTATGGATCTCCGGAAATATGGTCCAGGAAAATATTCGATATCATTTTGACGCAGTAATGAAATCTATGGGTTCTTTCATATTACATGCTTAAACGCCCCAAATTCGTAAAATAGACCATCTATTCATGTACAGAGAACAGCAAATGAACCAGAATGAAATTCTAGCCCTCTTCCTGGTCCATGGCATCGCGACTTCGCTTGCCCTTAAACGAGAACTTTCCCTTGCCTTTGGCCCCTTTCTTCTCGTCGTAATGCTTCATCGCCTGAATGGCGTCACGCTGTGAAGCACTGACTTGTTCGGCAAAGACCATAGCCTCATCTTTTGGAGCAGGGTACTCGGCCAACTCTTTGCCCATCGCAGCCTCTATACGTTGCCAGATTTCCACATCATATTGGGTGACAAAGGAGATGGCGGTTCCAGACTTTCCAGCACGTGCTGTACGGCCTACTCGATGGATATAGGTCTTGCTGTCGGTTGGCAAGTCAAAGTTCAAAACGCAGTCCACAGAGGGGATATCCAAACCACGAGCAGCAACATCGGTGGCAACCAGGATCTCGCGACTTTTCGATCTGAATTTTCCCAGTGCTCCCAGGCGTGCAGATTGAGACATCTGCCCATGGAGAGGGATTGCGCCGAAGCCTAGACCGCGCAGCAGGAAAGCAACACGCTGTGTCTCGTGAACGGTGCGCATGAAGATAATGACGGACTGGCCGATGAATTCGTGGAGGAGGTATACAAGGTATATGTCCTTGTGTTTATAAGGACGAAGGATATAAGTTTGCTGGAGAGTTTCCACGGTAGCGTACTTGCTGGTAGAGATCGAAACGCGGGCCGGATTTGACAGTGAGGCTCGTTGGAGAGACTCAACCTTTGAGCTCAGAGTCGCGGAGAATAGGAAGGTTCTACGCTCGCGCGGCAAGACCTTCAGGATCTTATCGAGAATAGGGCCGAAATCCATATCGAGGAGTCTGTCTGCTTCGTCCATGACGAGGAATTTCAAGTTGCGGAGAGAGAAGCCCTTAGTATTCTCGAGGTGATCGAGAAGTCTGCCGGGCGTGGCAACGATGATGTGAGGTTTCTTTCCCAAAGCGATTGACTGAGGAACCATATCCATGCCACCAACCAGCGTGGTAGATCTGACGTTGATTGTTGCACCAAGGGACTCGCATGCTAGTGAAATCTGGTACGCCAATTCACGGGTTGGGGCCATTACGAGCCCAAAGAACGGCTGGGGCTTTTCCATGAGTGCTAGAAGACTCGTCAGTATTGTATACAAGGTATATGTCATCAAATATGCACAAACCTTGAAGAATTGGTAAAACGAAGGCAGCAGTTTTTCCAGATCCTGTTTCAGCCAATCCAATAATATCACGACCCTGAAGTGCCAGCGGGATTGATTCGGATTGGATTGGTGTAGGGGATTTGTATCCCATTTTGTCACAGGCCTCGCAGAGCGAGTCAATCAGACCCAGTTCTTTGAATGTTTTGGGAGCGCTGGAAGCGCTGGGCTCAGTCTCGGAGGAAGCAGCTTCGACATTGGGGTCATCAGCAGTGGGTTGGGGACTTGAATCGCTCGCGCTATCTTCAACATCGGGGTTGGTTTGGGGGCTTGAAGAGCTTGCATTTGATGCAACGTCGCTGTCTTCAACAGGTGCAGCAGGTACTGCGTGTGCGACCTTGCGCTTCTTGGTAACCGGCATGTTTGATTTGTGTTTGAACAAAAAGGAAGTTGTCGATGTTCAACTATCTCAAAAGAAATAATTTAATGTGGGGCCGCAACATTGTTGATCCGGCGCTGTTTCTGATGTTAATTTTTGGAGAAAAAAAAAACCTCGAGCTGTTCGATTTAGTATTCGTTGCTTTTCCCGTCCAATTTTATTTTTCTTATCTCTCACATCAAAATGGCCAAGCAACGTGTCAAGAAGCGCACTCACCAGAAGCCCCAAAATGCTTCTGTTGTGAAGGGCAGCGCTGCCTCAATGACCAAGACCCCGAAGTCTATGGTCATTAGAATAGGCGCTTCTCAAGTCGGTAGCAGTGTGACCCAATTGGTTAAGGATGTCCGTCGTATGATGGAGCCAGATACCGCTGTGCGATTGAAGGTATGTTTCACAATCACTATTCTGTTCGTTCGTTCTAACAAGCAATATTAGGAACGCAAATCCAACAGACTGCGAGATTATACCGTTATGACCGGGCCCCTAGGTGTCACTCATCTTATGTTGTTTTCCAAGTCCGCAACTGGTAACACAAATATGCGACTCGCTGTTACTCCCCGTGGACCTACCCTTCATTTCAAAGTCGAGAACTATTCGCTGTGCAAGGATGTTGAGAGATCGATGAAGCGCCCCAAAAGTGGCGGACAGGACCACAAGACACCGCCCCTCTTGGTCATGAACAACTTCACCACACCAGGCGCAACCGAAGATTCTAAAGTGCCGAAGCGGCTCGAGACCCTCACAACTACGATCTTCCAATCCCTCTTCCCTCCCATCAACCCCCAAACCCAGCCTCTATCTTCCATCCGCCGTGTCATGCTTCTCAACCGAGAGCCTGCCGAAAAAGACAGCGACTCGTATATCTTGACTCTCCGTCACTACGCCATTGCCACGAAGAAGACCGGTATATCGAAACGAATCCGTCGCCTGGACCCCAAAGAGATTCGGAACCGGGACAAGAAGAAGACCGCCGTTCCTAACCTTGGAAAGCTCGAAGATGCCGCTGATTACCTGCTTGACCCCTCCGCTGCAGGCTACACATCAGCAAGTGAGACCGAGCTAGACACCGATGCCGAAGTGGAAGTTCAAGAGAGCACGACCCGCCGAGTCCTAAACAAGCGGGAAATGCAGCGCCAAAAGGCTGCAGATAAGGGCCAGGATAAGCCAGCCCAGACCACCGGTGTTGAGAAGCGGGCTGTAAAGCTCGTAGAGCTGGGTCCTCGCTTGCGCCTTCGCTTGATGAAGGTTGAGGATGGAGTCTGCGATGGCAAGATCATGTGGCATGACTTCATTACGAAATCCGAGAAGGAGGTGCGGAATATGGACCAGAGCTGGGCCGTTCGGAGGAAGGAGAAAGAGCAGAGAAAGAAGCTGCAGAAGGCGAACATTGAGCGCAAGAAGCAGGAGAAGGCCAAGGCCAGGGGCAGTGGCAAAGAAGCAGCCGAGGAGGACGAGGACGAGGAAATGGATGATGAAGATTGGCTCAGCGATGATGACTTTGACAAGGACGCTGAGGGTGAGGGTGAAGCGGCAGATGACGACTCTGAAGCCGATTCGGACGAGTCTATAGAGGAGTAAATGGCTGCTTCGAGTCATCACACCACACCTTTCCGAAAGCTTCTACTTGATCGCTTGGTAAACAGCCGGCTCTTGCGATTGAACAAACCCAAGAATTCAAACCGTGCCGGCTTGTCTATCACACTAGTGGACTGTATCAAACATGATCACCGTCTTCACGTCTTATCCATGTCATATGGACCAAAATTTTCTTGTCACTGTCACATACCCGATAGGCATATAGGCGTTTTTCAGGTTTTGTCTTCATATAATGCAGTCTTGCAAATTCATCCATCATCCTCCATCCTTTTGAACTTAGTAATGCTTTTGATCCGATCAGAGAGCCGCTGTGCTGTCTGTCGAACTATCCAACCTCGACGATGAGGATAGACCCTAAGACAATAGAATGATCTCAATACTTGCATATACTTGCGAGCTTTATGCTTCTGCTTTCACTAATCGAATTTCCAGATGTATGTCTTGTATTCGCTATAATCAAAGGATGTTCCAAATGTACCAATTAGTTCATTCTAGGACATAGAAAGCTAAAAATGACTCATTTTGTCTTGTCCTGGCCGAATATTGAAATGAAGTCGAGTTGCGGAGATTCGGTATTCGTATCTCTAATCTATTTCTTGAGTCTTTCATCGACGATCCTGTTCACCATCTTCTCCAAGATAGCGAAATCTCCACCAGAGGTTCCAGCAAAGTATCCCTGAACGCTCTTCTCAACATACTTGCCCACGATATCAATCTCAACATTAACAAAGTCACCGGGCTTTTTCGCCGCAGTGACCACCTTATCCTGTGTATAGGCAATAAGCATAACCTCCCAGTATCCATCCTGCCCATCGACGACCTTGGTGACAGTCAAGCTAGCACCATCAAGGGTCACGTAGCCTTTTTCCACAACATAGCGCAGAATATCTCTCTCGCGCGGCTGCAGTCGGAACACCAACGAGTTTCCATCCGGCGTGACAGACAGAATCTCCGCAACGGTATCGACATGACCTTGCACAAAATGTCCTCCCATCCGGGTATCGGCTGAAACGGCGCGCTCGAGGTTCACGTGGGAATTCGTCTGCAAAGAACCCAGGTTTGTGCGTCGCAGTGTCTCTGGCGCACAGCCAACCTTGAACCAGGTCTTATCGAATGCAGTGACCGTAAGACATGTTCCTTAAGCCCACTTTTAGACAATATCCCATGTGTTATAGACAACGAAAGAGTAAAATACCATTCACTGCGATACTATCGCCCAGGTGTGCGTCGGTGAGGATCTCCTCACAGTCGGAGATGGTGAGTGACGTTCCCCCGCCCCCGCTCGATGAGGTGTCAATAGGCTCCAAGGCCGTGACAGCTAGTAAAACCACGTTAGCGATTGACTCACGTTACAAAAGAGAAAGATATCTCACTCCCAATCGTCTCGACAAGACCTGTAAACATAGCTGCGGTTGATGATCTACAAGGAAAATGCTCCGTGTGCCCTCGGCGTCAGCCCCTCCGAGCGGTGTCGGCGTCGGCGTTTTGGCGGAGATTCGCCGGTTTCCCCAGAATTCATTTAACGGGGATTCTTGTTTGAGCGTCATTTTTTTGTTTCGCTCCGCTCTTCGTATATATCATCATGACGGTTGCGCTCAGGTTCCAGGTTGCTGCCCGTCAATCCGGCTTGTCCTGGGGTAGCAATGCCTTGCGGCGCACGGTGCCAGGACGGAGCTACTCCAGTGCAGCTTCGGTCGATGGTTCGCTACCTTTGGCTGGTATCCGGGTGCTTGATATGACACGCGTTTTGGCTGGTGTGAGTCCATCTCTTGATAGGCTGTGTAATTCAAGCTGACTTGCTTTTAGCCTTACTGTACTCAAATTATGGGTGATTTAGGGTATGTATCAACCTTCGGAGCTATGAAACAGCTCCAATTGGTGATCCTATGATATTGACAAGACGAAATATAGAGCGGAAGTTATCAAGGTCGAACACCCTGTGCGCGGCGACGATACTCGTGCTTGGGGTCCGCCATATGCAAAGTACGAAGATGCTTCCAGGAAGGGCCCTGGCGAGAGCGCTTACTACCTAGCTGTACGAACCTCCTCTCGAAGCTATATAAAAAAAATATCATGGCACTGATCAGGGATATAGGTCAACCGGAATAAGAAATCCCTCGGTCTATCATTCCAACACAAGTCAGGCGTCGAGATTCTACACAAGCTTGCAAAGGAATGCGATGTCCTAGTCGAAAACTATCTTCCAGGGGGGCTCAAAAAATACGGCATGGACTATGAAACTCTGCGGGAAATCAACCCAAAATTGATTTATGCCAGTATCACCGGGTATGGCCAGACAGGCCCATATAGCAACCGTGCAGGCTACGACGTCATGGTAGAAGCCGAGATGGGATTGATGCACATTACCGGTTCTCGGGATGGCGCGCCAGTAAAGGTTGGTGTTGCTGTTACCGATCTGACTACCGGACTATACACATCGAATGCCATCATGGCGGCTTTGATTGCTCGGGGTCGGACTGGTAGAGGTCAGCACATCGATGCCTGTTTGAGTGATTGCCAAGTCGCTACGCTATCGAACCTGGCTAGCTCTGCGCTTATCAGTGGGAAAAGGGATTCCGGCCGTTGGGGCACAGCACACCGTAAGCAGCGAACATTCTCCTGAGTATAATAATAACCAAACTAACACCTCCCAGCATCCATTGTACCCTACCGGAGCTACAAGACCAGCGACGGAGATATTCTCTTCGGTGGTGGCAATGATAGGCTTTTTGGCGTGTTGTGTGATCGACTAGGCTTTTCCGAGTGGAAGACGGACGCCCGCTTCGTCACTAACAGTGGCCGAGTGCAGCACCGTGCGGAGATCGACGGTATGATTGAAAGCACCACCGTGCAGAAGACCACGCAGGAGTGGTTGGATATCTTTGAAGGCAGCGGTATGCCCTATGCGGCTGTCAACGACATTCAGGGAACCCTGAATCACAAGCATGGTAAGTCTGCGTATTTCCTTTACATGTGATATAAACAGCACTGACGTTACGAACAGTTTTGGCACGAGGCATGGTGACGGAAATTGACCATCCTGCATGTGGTCCCATCAAGATGGTCAACACCCCTATCAAGTACTCCGAAGCGACGCCCGGTATCCGCACGCCTCCTCCTACTTTGGGCCAGCATACAGATGAGATTTTGGGTAATGTCCTCGGTTATGGGGAGGCGGATATCGCTCGCATGAAGGATGAGGGGGTCATATCCTAAACCTTGAATTATCTATGAGAAACATGAACGACACCTCCCGAAATCTGTATATAAGGAAACTGGAAATCACAGCCATTCCAAGTTACCCTCGGTTCTTCTGGCGTCTTTTAATCCTTTTTGGTCATCTCTCTTACATGCATACGCTCATGGGCTTTCCTTGGGCAATTCTGCTAGTTTCAGTTTAGAAGGAAAACAAGATTCAAAATGATTAAAAAAGAGATCTACAACTTGAATCATTATTTGCTAGGTTATTTCGGTCGTAAGTTCCTGTAGTATATTGAGACAATTCCTCCTTCATATAGAACTTACCAGATCCGCATAAGAGATAACGAAACGGCTTTGATGACGAATGAAAGCATCAAATCTACATTTAAATTAATAAGATCCTCACATTAGGCGAAATACGTCAGTAAACGACCGACGACAGACATTGAAGGTTGTATTGGAATATCACGTGATTCATATACAAAGGCTTTCATTCGACGACTTCAATCCAACCCTACTTCCAATTGAAGAATTGAGAGGAGCCAACTATGTTCGACTGCCCACTCGGCAAACACTACAGTGTCTATTTTGATTTGCAGTAGGCTGAAAGACTCGGATTGCCCTAGAAGAACACAAATAGTGCCTCTATCACCTGTTGCTCTATTCTCTTCTTTCGCTCCCAAGCTCAACTAATTTTCCAAGAGAACGTCGGCCAAAACTTCTTTGGAAATACTTATTCGAAAGGAAGCTCACTATGAGGGTCTCATCGGAATTCATGGACCTCCCCGCTCCCGATATCAACCCGGAGCGCCCCCAGAACGTCTATGAGGGCAACATATTTGACCATGAAAGCGTCTCCGAGGCGATCCAACCACTGTCATCACACCCGGAACTTATGGCTGACAATATACACCGGGGGATTTGGGGATCACCAGCACCGCCTCAGGAAGAGGCCGTTTGGACAACAGCCGGGGCTACGGAAACGGATAGAAATGCCAGCACTGCCCTAGATTCAAATCGAACTCGATCTGGCCGCCGTATTACTCAACCAACTGTTCGACAAGCCGAGCCTGGGACAATTAAAGGGCCTGTCAAAGTGGCAGCTAAAAAGCGGAAGCGTCCGAACCGCCAGGTCAATATAGTTTGCACCGGCTGTTACCGAGGACACAGCCCCTCGAACAATTTGATTGTTTTATGTGACTCATGTGATGCTCCGTGGCATCAGAAATGCCACAGTCCAAACATTCATAATGAGGTTATCGAAATTTCGGAGATGAATTGGTTTTGCATCAAGTGTAAACCTGAGCAACGTCAGGCAGCCCAGACCAAATATCAAAAGAATGGTGCAACGAAAATGAAAAAAGTCGAACGACCGAAGAAGCAGCCTGTGTCTGAATCTCAAATTGGTGGAAATTATTATTCAGAGGAGGAACGACGGGCGTATCTGTCATCTCTTTCTCATGATTCGCTAGTCAAGCTTATAGTGAGAGTCTCAAACGAGTGGCCGTCGGTTCCTATGTTTCCCCGGGACATGCAGGAAAACGTTCGTTCTGCATTACTTGGTTGGGAAAATCAGGAACCATCGTTCAAGAACGCTAGCGACATGGATTCAAACCAACAGATCGGCAAGACTTCTAATACCACAGCCCCCGAAGCTACTGCCATGGATGCCGAAGAACTCTTTGCTGCAATGGTTTCCGATACGGTTCCCAATCCTGCTTCCCCGGCGGCTCTTGGTGGCATCGCTGCCTGCCAGGTTTCCACTGGAATTTCTCACACGCATGCTCCCACAACTGCTCCCCAGACTACAACAACAACTTCCCAGACGCCTTCCAGAGCCACGCGCAAATTTACATCGCATGCTGCGCCTGCAGCTACACGTGCTCGCAAGGCCTCTTTCGTTTCTTCGAACTCTGACCTGCTCACCGACGACGAGTCATCATACTCCCAATCCCCCACTCTATCTCCATCTCAGTCCTCACAAGTTGGATCCCAGCATGAATCGGATTATGACCCTGGAGATTACCGCGCCTACCCCGAAGCTGGTCAAGGCTTCCAGGTGCCGTCGACCCCAAGCGATCTTGACATCATGGCTGAGGATAAGAATTGCCTTACATTCAGTCATTCTATCCGAGGCTCAGCTAAGCAGGCTCAGAATAAGAAGCCTTCTTCGCCTCTGGGTCAGCGGATGCAGTGGTGATTGATCCCGATCTTGTTCTGGTTTGAGTCGGAGGTGCACTGTCTGACACAATCATGGGAGTTTCGTGGATTTACGATGACCCTTTTTCGTCAAGAATAGAAGGAACGAGGGATGCTTGATATGATCAAATGTGTTTCGTGAATCTGACTTTCTTTTTCGATATCTTATGTCTTTCTTCATGTCCTCAGCTATAACGATTTCGTCCTTACGGCGTGATGCTCTACAAGTTCTATATGGTTTCTTACTTCTTCGTGTTTTCGCCTCTAAAAGATAAATCCTTGACTACACCCTAATCGACCAGTCTTTTTCTGCATTTTTTCTTTCTATTCCAATCTTCTCTCGCCTCTTTCATATCAGGGGCTGTCTTACGTTGTCTTCAAATGTTTCCATGTAGCTCTGGCATAAACCTGGCGGCACCTTCCCAGTCAGGTGCCTTCCCTTTTGGTCAAAACTCGTGACCCATCGTGGTTTCCCCGTCGACTTGGCTCACAGCCCGCAGGGTATAAATACCTGCTTCCTCCCACTTTCTTGCTTCTTTCTTTCTTTCTTCCTTCTTCAGACCACCACTCCAGGTCCACATTGCACATCGTGGTTCCTAATGAGTGTTTTTTTTACCGTTGACCCAGCTCCAGATTCGTATTCAACATATGTCTGCTGTTGCCTGGCGATCGGTGTTATCCTAGGCTCTGGCGGGTCTCTGTAGGCGGCCTAGACTAGGCTGCGAATGGCACGAAGCATGTACATGCGGGCTACCGACTGGTGATCTTTAGATACCTGAGGTGCTTTGCTATGATCTCTGCGGATACAGACTGTACGTGTCTAGGTGCTCCCGTTGTCCGCCATACGAAGGGGCTCTGCTCTCATCTCCTTTGTCCCAATTTTTGGAACTTTTATACAGAGATAGCTCTCTGTTGTCTGAAGAATTTTTTAAGGTCACTTTGTTTCTTTTAAGGTTCCATTTCTATTCATGCTGTGAGCTTTTATGGAAGTGTACCGAGTCTTAGCATATTCCTTACCAGTGGGTCATGAAAGCTCATACGCACCGGGATAGATCCAGTTAGAATGAAACATTTTCTGGATTTTAGCCAACATTTTTGAGCGAATGGTGAATTTTATAGACAAACCCAGCTTGGCCAACGGATTTCTAGGCTATCACTCTGTAGATTTGGGTCTCCAGACACTGTCTGTCTTCCTTTTTCTTGCTACAAGACAGAATTATATAGATCGTCTTATCTCTTATCAGCCCCGCAAAACCAAACGCGTCTGGAATCTCCCCAGGTTGTCTCATTGCACATCCTCGACATCCAATCTCCAGCCAGAATTATTGCCAAAGCAGACATTGCAATGTCATCCTCAAATCTTCAAGCTCTAAAAACAACAGCCAAACCACCCCAGACAACTCCCGGCTCGACCAATCCACACACCAGCCTCCTGACAATCGACATCCTAACAAGCATCCTCTCCAAATCACTACTCAACCCTTTCATAGCCTGGATCTTCGTCCTCTGCCTGCGCGCCCATGTAACCCCATCAACAGATCCAGCCTGGATCCTCGCCGTAAGCTATGCAACGGCCATGACAGTCCTCTTCGTCGCGCGGATTATCAACCAGCGCGCCGCCTACGGCGCCCCGCGAAAAGTCGATTTCGAGCATGAGGTCATGGTCATCACTGGCGGGGCGAGTGGGCTGGGTCTGCTGATTGTGCAGATGTATAGCATGCGCGGGGCGAGTGTCGCTGTGCTGGATATTAAGGATGTTCCGGAAAATAGCCGCGATGAGGTCTTTGGGGAGGGCGTTTTGTATATTACGTGTGACGTCGCGGATAGAGGTGCTTTAGAAGTTGCGAGGGAGAGCATTTTGCAAAAGGTAGGTTTTGCTTTTTTACTTTGTTTTCGTTGTGACCTTCGATCCTATATCATCCTACTATTATTGCGGTTCTAGTGATTTACATATTTGGATAAGGTGTTTCATAGCGCGTTATGGCTTGCTTCAATTGGGATCTGATTCGCTAAACATCTTGCAGTTAGGAACACCGACGATCGTTATCAACTGTGCCGCGGCCAGGATCAACGGCCTCTCGCTGCTTGATCTGCCAGCGGACGCATTCGAAAAGACAATCCGCACTAATCTCCTAGCGGCTTTCCATCTGTACCAAGTCTTCTTGCCTGGGATCATCGCAGCAAAGAGTGGAGGAACTCTTGTCACAGTCAGCTCCGTGCTGGGCCAACTGAGTGCTGCGGGACTGTCAGACTACGCAGCGAGCAAAGCAGGACTTAGCGCGCTGCATCGGACGATAGAAGCGGAAGTTCGGGTTAACCCGTTGATCAAGACATTGCTAGTGGAAGTTGGTCAGATGTCGACGCCGTTGTTCGACTGGGTGCGCGCGCCGAATCATTTCTTTGCGCCAATCCTGGAACCCGTCGAAGTTGCCCGGGAGATGGTGGCAGCGATTGATAGCGGTCGAGGTGGTGTGATCAGGTTGCCTTTTTATGCAAAGCTCGTGAATTGGTATGCCGTGCTACCCGCTACGGTGCAGCGGGTTGCGAGATATCTGAGTGGGATAGATGCTGCTGTTACTCAAAGCCGGCAGACATCTGGGAAGACATATTGATAGGTGGCTCAAATAGAGCTGAGCGGTGTATATTGGCATGAATCATGAAAAGGGACCCTTGTATAGGTCCAAGCAGGGTGGATTATAAAGCAGAGCGATCTGCTTCATTGAAAATTTCCCCATTCGACCATAGTTTCGATTGCAAGTCTTGCGGCCGAGCCTGGTCGAATCGAGTGGATCGATTTATTGCTCGCTGGCCAGAATCATCTTCTCACGCTCATGTGTTCTCGGCGCCAGGTTAGTCTTCTTAGTATGCTTGCGCACATTCTCCTCGCGCCTCTTAATAGCATTGAGCTCCTCGCGCTTGATTTCACCAGCCTTCTTGATCGGCTTGGGTACATGACGCTGGCGCTTGATGCGGCGAATTTGAGGCATGTGCGAGTACCGCTGGATAAGAGCTTGATCGTACTCTAGCTTGGAACGCTGACGGGCAGTCTTGACTCCACTGCGATCCGATGCCTTGGCACGCCAGAGACGAACATTGCCATCGTCCGATCCTGTCAAGACATACCTGTTGTCAGGCGTGAATGTTGCCGAGAAAACACGTTGCATCCGCTTTGTGTGGTAAATGTCACGCGAATGACCAGTTGATCTGTTCCATAGGCGGATTGTCCGATCGTATGAGGCAGTGACCAGCTCTTCACCCGTGGGACTGAAATCAACATCCATAACAGCAGCCACATGGTCCTTCAGGACATTGAGAGCACGGTCCATCTTTCTCATATCGAAGATGTAGGCGTTGTGATCCTCGTTCGCCACGGCAAAGTTGAATGCTTCCATTGGGTTCCAAGAAATGGCGTTAGATGCCAGTCTCAATGTCGTCTTGTGCACCGGCTGGGAAGTGCGCAGGTCGTACATGATGACTGAGCGGTCCATAGCAGTTGAAGCCAGGATAGAAGTCTCAGTCTGGTTGAATGCAACCGATGTGATGGTGTCAACGCTGGTCGGCCAGTGCATAGTCTGCGATGGTGTGGATGACGGCCGGGAAAGGTCATAGATAGAGATGACACCAGAAGCCGCAGCAAAAGAAGGGAGGCTCCGATGATGCGTGACACTGGTGAAGGCACTATTTCCGAGATAGGTTGCCATCGGTGGGGCCTCAGATGATGAGTTGTATGGATCCCACAATTTAATCGTCTTGTCACTCGCGCATGACAAAAGTTTTCGCTCCGGCGTCCAACACAAACCCTTGACCATGTTTTCATGGCCTTGGGTATTCCAAACCTCGCCCTGCGTCGTTAGATCCCACACCTTCACCACACCATCACCACTGCCACTTGCAAAGCGTTCAAGTGAGCCGGGGTCCTTTGCCATAGAGTAAACACCGTCAACGTGTCCGTTACCCATCTGGGCTAAGAAAGGAGCAGCAAACATGCGCTCCATCTTGATCGCATTCAGGGCTCGAGTATATTCACGAGCCCGCTCAAAAGGATGTTGAGTCGGGTCGAGATTCCGCGACTGGCGAACGACAGCGGACCCGGGGGCCTGTTGCGACGCCGTGGAGCGGGAGAGTGCTTTGATTTTCTATAATCCATTAGCATGGCTATCCAAAAGACATAATTTCAAAGAAAAATACCCACCATGGTGCCGTTGTGAAAACGAAGTAGAAAAGAAAAGAAAAATGCCAAGAGCGAACTTTTTTTCTGTTTGATTTGCCAAGCGGGCGGTGAGAGGACAGTGAGCTGCCGCCAGCTTCGAGCTCCCCATTCGACCTGATCATCAACCTCTCTTCAAACCACCATCTTCTATTGTTCTCCTTTCCTTTAATTCTCTATCTCACTCACTCGCCATTTGCCGTCTTTTATCATGTCATCCAAGGTCTCGCCACGGATCCAAGAAGTTCGAGATCTGGTGAAGGAGGATCCCTCGAAAGCAGCGACCAGTTACCAGAAGATTCTCTCAGAGGGCCCCGGATCTACAGAGGCATCTTCACGAGACTATGAACATGCCTTGATTGGGCTGGGCGAGTTGCATCGGGATGCGAAGAAGCCACAGGAGATCGCGGACCTCATCAAGACCAGCCGTGATACCTTCTCGTCATTTGCCAAAGCGAAAACAGCCAAGCTGGGTAAGTTGCGCGCTAAATCACTTCTATGGAAATAGCCTAACTGTGATTATTCAGTCCGTCAACTTCTGGACCTGATTAGCGAAATCCCCAACACACTCGAACTCCAAGGCAACGTCATCCAATCATGCATAGAATGGGCTATTTCCGAGCGGCGATCGTTCCTCCGCCAGGCCCTCGAAGCCCGACTCGTTGCAATCTATATGCAGAAGCAATCCTATTACGATGCGCTCACTCTTATCAACTCTCTTCTCCGTGAGCTGAAGCGCCTGGATGATAAGCTTATGCTGGTGGAAGTACAACTGCTCGAGTCGCGTGTGTACCACGCTTTGGGCAACCAGGCCAAGGCACGCGCTGCTCTGACAGCTGCACGGACGTCGGCCGCCTCCGTTTACACGCCACCGAACCTGCAGGCCGGTCTGGATATGCAGAGTGGCATGCTGCACGCCGAAGACAAGGATTTCACCACTTCATACTCCTATTTCATTGAAGCGCTTGAGGGGTACAGCTCGCTCGATGAGAGCGACCTGGCCACGGCGACATTGCAGTACATGCTTCTGTGCAAAATCATGCTGAACCTGGTGGATGATGTCACACAGCTACAAGGCTCGAAACAAGCGCAAAAGTATGCCAGTCCACGCCTGGAGGCAATGAAGGCCGTGGCACGGGCCCACGCCAACCGGTCTTTGGAGGAGTATGAGAAGGCTCTTTCGGACTACAGATTCGAACTGGGCAGCGATGTATTCATCCGAAACCACCTCCGTCGTCTTTACGATGCAATGCTGGAACAGAACTTGATCAAGGTCATTGAACCCTTCAGCCGGGTCGAGCTGGACCACATTGCGAAGATGGTGGGTTTAGACACACAGCAGGTGGAAAGGAAGCTGTCTCAGATGATCTTGGACAAGGTGATCATCGGTGTATTGGACCAGGGCTCGGGGTGTCTGATTGTGTACGATGAGACAGAACGGGATCAAGCTTACGATGCCGCACTAGAGACCATTGAAAAGCTCGGCAATGTGGTGGAAGGTCTGTATACTAACCAGGCGTCTCTCCTGGAATAGAAAAGATGGGAAATGTCCAATGCAGTTGAGACAATGACTTGATAGGAAATAATCAAGACAATGCACGATCACCTCAATAATTACCGTTAGATCTGCGCGTAATTAGTACTTAACATGTGAACTACATCTTATATGTCTAGCTCCTAATTATTCATCAAATCTCAACTGCAATTTCCATGTAGAACAATGACTTTTCTCCTCTGGACGGTGTTATTCGCGAGTGTCCGAAAAGGGTAAAGCGCGACGGGCAAAAGAATCGCGACCTCGCATCTCCACCATCTCGCATCTTTTTCCCCCATCCATATCCTCCCAGCACTGTTTTGTTGCTTGATTTCTCCACAATGCAAGCTCCAATGCAGCAACATTATGCTCGGGCCATGCCCCCAAATGTACAGCGATCTCCAGCCGCGCCCCGTCGCCCCCCAGGGCCAGGTATGTCCCCTTTCATCTGTCTCCACTCATTCGTCTCGGCTCTAACCTTCCGTCTCTATAGGTGGCGCAATGCCTGTTCCGATGCCACAACACGCTGTTGCCCAACAGTACATGGCATCGCGTCCTATGCCCCACCCGAATGATGCTGCCCTTCGGCGCAGCCGCAAGCCGACCGACAGGAACCTCCCCGACGGCATTGAAGATGTGATCATCGGTGAGGGTGTTCAGCAATATAAAAACCTCCGCGACTTGGAAAAGCGATTGGATGCTGCTGTTGTTCGGAAGAGGCTGGATATCCAAGACTCTATCAACAAAACCGTCAAGAAGTATCGGACTATGCGCATCTGGATCTCCAATACTGTCGAAAACCAGCCATGGCAAGGCCCGGGCAACAACCCAGGCTCCGGCCGCTACAAGGTACGCATCGAAGGACGACTGTTGGACGATGAAACCGACCCTACGGTTCCCGATGAGGATGAGAAAGATGAAGATGCGATGGACCACGACGCGGCCGAGGAGGATAAGGCAAAGAAATCCGAATCCAAGAGACAGTCCCAGCGCTTCTCCCATTTCTTCAAGGCTATCACCATCGACTTTGATAAGCCCGTCTCGGCAATCCCCGAGGAGGTTAAGCCGGTTAACTGGTCCAAACCCAACACACACCCCAACACACCAGCGCCCCAGGGTGCCGAATTTGATAGTCTACAGTTCTCCCGAGCCTCGCAGGACAATCTGAATGTCACCATCAGCCTTGTCCGGGACGAAGTTCCAGAGCGATACAAGCTGAGCAAGGAGTTGGCCGAAGTTCTAGATGTCGAGGAGGAGACCCGGAGTGGAATTGTTCTCGGAATCTGGGATTACATCCGAGCCATGGAATTGCAAGAAGACGAGGAGAAGCGACAAGTGCGCTGTGATCACCGTCTACGCTCGGTATGTACTTTGAATGTCTGGTCTTTCTAGTATCCGCTAACAAGCTCTGTAGATCTTTGGCCGGGAGCAAATGTTCTTCCCCCAGATTCCTGAAAGCATCGGTCCTCACACCAGCCCTATGGAACCAATCAAGCTTCCCTACACCATTCGCGTCGACGAAGAGTTCCACAGTGACCCAACCCCGACCATCTACGATATCCAGGTCGCAGTTGATGACCCGCTGCGCAGCAAGATGATGGCTCTCACTCAGAACCCAGCGTACACAAGTGGCCTACGCCAGATCTCCTCGCTTGATGACCAAGTTGCTTTGATTGTCCAGGCCCTTACACACTCCCGTGCTCGCCACTCATTCTACACTGCTCTGAGCAAGGACCCAGCCAATTTTGTTCGTCGCTGGATCAGCTCTCAGCGCCGCGACCTCGAGACTATCATGGGTGAAGCTACCCGTGGAGGCGGTGAGGATGGTAGCGGACCTGAGTTCCGTTATGGCGGCGTTGACGGCCCGTGGGACTCTGAGGTTGCTAAGGAAGCTGTGCGGTACATGCTGGCTAAACCCGAAGCTGCGGCTGCTCGGTAGATATCCTGCTTGTCTTTTTCGTTTTAAGTCGCATGTCCACACTGCCAACCATTACGAAATGAAGATGGGTTGATGTATTCTTTTTTTTAATCTGATATAGGGCACTTGTGTGGTGTTCGGACTGGTGTAGCCGGGGTATGACAGGCAGGAATTGTTTTGAAATCTGTATTCTAAGAATCCGATACTATCCAATATGATTCCGGATTTATTTCAATAATTGTTTGAACAAAAGACCCATCACGCCAGGCGTTGTTGTCTCTGGACCAGTATAGAAGAGGTCGGACCAATTTCAAGGGAAAGCAACATAAAAAGGAGTCACAAACATCTCAATCAATCATAAAGCAAGCATGGACAAAAGAGGGAAGAAAACTTCACAGCACTCAAAGACACATAGATTATAAATAATAACCTAAAGTCCCATCCAAACCTCAAGCACCAGGCAAAGGAAGCTTCGCGACAAGCTCTGCTCTCCGTTTCCGCAACTCCTCCCCGAGACCCGAGTCCACACTCGAAGAGACCTTTTCATGCAACGAGGAAAGCTCATCCTGCAAAATAGCGGTCTCCTGCTGCTCCAGCTTGGAAGCCGCCTCGAGGACAACATCATGCACAATATCCTCCTTGGGCTGCGCATCCTTCTCTGCGCTAACAGGCTCTTTCTTCCCCTTCTTCATGCCAGCAGCATCAGCCGGAGTGCGGAAACGCTTGAGAACAGTCTCGACCATCTTGGAAAACCAGTAGAAGTTCAAGAAGTTCAAGATCAAGTTCGATCCGACGTAGGTCACGACCAGCCACGTTGGTACACCTCCCGCGGTATGCTCCTTGAACTTGGTGATCTCGGCATTGGCGCGCGCGCAGGCTTCGTTGACACACAATCTACCATCGCGGGCTGGGTAGAAGACATGTGCGTTGATGCTCACGGGTTCAGAGAGTGGGGCTGCAGCTGCAGACCAGGTTTGCTGAAGCGCATTCCACATGTCCATGTACACAATGACGGTTTGCCAGCTGCCCCAGACGAGGCGGCAGGCGAAGAAGCTGAAGAGCAAAGCCATGCCGTTATACCATTGGGCGCGGCTGCCGGTCATGTTGACTTTGTCGAGAAACCAGTGGATATTAAGGAATGGGCTGGAGAGCTCATAGAGGATGAAGGTCGGAGCGAAGTAGTTTAGGAATGGTCTCTGCGGAAACTATGTTAGATGTTTCTCGAGTTTGAAAAAGGAAAATGCAGTTATGCTGATCTTCTTGATACTGGATGTATCTATATCAGGCAGATCGGAGACGCAACTTACAAAGCCTAGACTAAACACCCACAAGGCGCTGACAGCATGGAAAAGCATGCCAAGGCCAAACATGCGCACATGCACAATGCTGACAATCAGGTCATATACGAAGTATCCCACGGCCAAAGCCTGAATAAGACCACAGGCACCTGTATACGCGAAGACCCGCTCACCGGAGGTCATGGAGCTGCGCTCCTTGTCGAAGAACATGACCCACAGGGCGGCAACGTTAATGACAATGCTCTGAACAAAAGAGACAGCATGGATATCCCAGTTCAACTTCGTCCGAGGAGTGAGCTTGTTGTAAGACTGAGGAAAGAGGATTGGCGAGAGCCGAGGTGAGAGAACTGTATGGATGAACAGGTAGAAGGCAAACGCTGCGATAACCTCGTGGATATGGTCGGCAAGTGTCGGGCAGTTCAACCGGATGGTATAGGGCTCTACAAAGCTCCGCAGCCATTCCGGGGGCGGTGGGAAAGGGTCCAACATCGTGGGATGTCCCCTCAACCAGCTGTGATCACCCGATGTGGGGGAAAGCTCCTTGAGGTTCGGAGGTCGGAATGTAGATCTATATGCGGTTGAGAGGGCACCCTATCCTGTCTATCATGGAGAAATGGAAAAGGGAAAAGAAAAACTGGAAATGGAAATGGAAACAAAGGAAAGCCCAATAACCATGAATAGGGGAGAAATATGTAGCTCCATCCGAGAATGGAGTAGAGAGAAGATGACCAGGTGAAGCTTGCCTCGGCATAGCCTCAGGCAGCAATGATTTGTTGGGAGTCACATGATCACCTGCCTTATTCGTTGGGTCGGGCTTTGTCGACTTGTACAGAGGTGACAGATGATGGAAAAAGACAATTAGGTCTACAAGGACTAGTCATTCGAAGGAAGATTTCAAGCAGCTAAAAATATGGTTTGTGATCCAGAACAATACCCGTCAACAAGTGACCACATACATGATACATCTATACAATCGAACTACATCACAGGTGTATTGGAAGAGTACAAAAGAAAATCATCATTAAACAATACACCTTTATGGTCACAAACGAAAGTCATCCAAATCATCCAAGCACTGAAACACAGAAACAAAAGTGGTATATGAGAAAGAAAGAAAACATTCATGGTGCAAGCGCCCAACTCCATCCAAAACAAAACATATCAATCAAACTGCAACATCAGTGCTGCCACTAGAGGGAGCCAACAGCTTAAGAGCTTCGGCTTCCGCAGCCTCATTAGCCTGCTGGATCTGGCGGGACATTTCGTGATCCTCATTCTGGTCCTCATTCCCAGAATGCTCTCCGTCCTCTCGTGCTGTCTGCGCATCGGAGCCATCGATAGAAATACCATCATGGTAGTCCTCGTGGTCGTGCTCAGCGATTGAGCTCTCCGCCACGTTGTATGAATTCGTGGAGCTCATTCCGCTGACACGGCGTTGATCTGAGGCATCTGTAACTACACTGTCGACGATGCTGCCAGAGTAGCTTGTCTTGCGCTCCGTGCCTGCATTGCTTGCTGCGTAGCTTGTTCGACGGTCAGTGCCAGCGTTGCTCGGTGCATAGCCATGTTCGGTTTCAGTGCCAAGGTCGGATTCTGCGCAGCTTGTCTTCCGGTTGGTAGGTGCGTTACTTTGCACATAACTAGTCTTGCACTGTGGACCAGCATCTTCCGCTTCGCTGGCTTGCTCGTCCTCTTCGTGGAATGGCTCGTTCTCTTTGTCGACAACAGAAATTGGACCAGCCCAAGAAGTCTTGCGAAGAGAGTTCGATTTGACAGAGTGGCTGCGCTTCAAATTCGTGATGCCAGATTTAGCACTCACCTGTCGGTCCACACCGCGGTTTCCAGTGACGTGACTTAAGCTAAGAATCCGACGTTCCTTTCCGATGTTGGGCTGCACAGCAACTTTTCCAGCCTGGAGCGAGGTCGGGGTTCTTTTCAAAGCCATTTCGACACCATTACCAAGCAGACTGCGACTGGGCTCTTTGGCAGTACTGGCAGTGCTCGCCAGACTAGGACTGCGAGCGCCTGTGCGTGAGGAACGGGTACTCCGAGTGCTACGGTTCCTCTTCAGGTTCATGGCTTGCGAGCCATTGGATCGGCCGAGGAGAATAGTACGAGCATGGTCGAGCACACCCTCCAGGATGCGTTTCTCAAGGCCATCCGCGCGGTCCTCCATCTGTCGCATCTCTTCGTGGCGTATCTCTAGGGCCGTTTCAAGACCGGACAGATCCTTGCTGAGCTTGTTGTTTTGCTTGATCAGGTCTTCTTTTTCTGCTCTTAGGCGATGAATCATGTTCAGCATAGAATCCTTCTCTTCCTGCAAGCCAACGAGCTCCACTTCCACCTGCTCACGCTGCGAAACTCTTCGTTCAAGAGCAATCGCAGCCTCCTCAGCTTCACGTCGCTTTCGCTCGGTATCTTCAGCGACCAGCACTGACTGGGCAGCGAACATCTCATTCATTCTGCGAGAGTTTTCCATGATATCCCTGTGCATCTCATCCAGCTTCGCCATCTGGGTAGCAGAGTGATCGGATTCCGGCGGATTCGGGGGACGGCTGAGCAGTGCGTCTAGTTTCTCATGAACGGGACCGCTCCCATTAGTGGCGCGATCTAGCAACTCATTTAGTCTCTCATATATTTGATCATTCGAACCCGCTCCTTGATCAAGAGCACGATCAAGCTTCTCATGGAGTTGGTCATTCTTCGAGTGATCAAGGAGAGTGTTCAAAACCTCGTGGACTTTGTCGTTCTTAGCATGTTCCAAAATATCGTCGAGTTTGCTGTGTAGCGGAGTATCTTCTATGGCGAGTGTACGGTCTGGTTCCGGTGGAAGCAGCGCAGGTAGCATTGCTGGGATACTTGAAGACAATGCGGACAGTTCAGACTTGAAGTCTTCTGCTGATTTCTGGGAGTGATCGTAGTGCTGGCTGACGATTGTCAATATCTCCTGCACAGATTCCAGAATACGAGGGTGAAATTCAAGGAGCTTGCTCTCCACTCGATCAGTGGCAGCTGCAGCCCTTTCGTTTTCAGCTTGAGATTGCTCCTGGTGCGATCTCACATCGTTGTGCATGCTCTCCATTTGCTGGCGGGACTGATCGACTTGTTCCATGAGAGCCTTCGTGTCCACACTTAACCGCTCACAGGTATCATTAACACTATCGCCCATAGCACCGATGACAAGCTTGATGTCCTCGGCAAGGCTTCTCGTACTTGTCAAAGATTCGGTGTGTGCCAGATCTCTCTGTTCGGTTTCTGAGAACTTCGACTGGAGGGACGTATGCGCATCTTCATACTTCGCCAAGACTTCGGAAATTTTCTCGTCAATCTTTGTGCCAAGCTCCACAATGATGGCGGCCCGCGTCTCATCGTGTTTGACTATTGTAGCGGCATCCCGCTCCTCCTCTTCGGCCTTGACTGCATCTTCATCGCCCCGAGAACGTTCGAATTCTCGGTTGATCAAGTCGGTGAGCTCCTTCATGTTTTCGACGGTGGTGAAGCTCTCTGCGGTGATGGCTAGTCCTTCGAGGAGCTGTTTAAGCTCGGTCAGGCCTTCGGTGCTGCCATCAAGCTTGCTTTTGAGTTCGTCCCCGAGCTCGCTGACGACAAACTTGGCTTCATCGATTTTCTCGGCAAGACCACCGTGCTCAACCTTGCGAGCATCGAACCCTTGGGCGGTCAATTCGTTATTGGCCTCCATCGTCTCTCGGAAATCGCAGACAAGTGTCGAGAGCTCCTGGATCTCCGTCTTGGTTGGAAGAGTATTCACATCAGGAAGCTTAAGCTCCTCGATTTGAGTCTTGACCTCGAAGATCATTGCTTCCACCGTTTCGATATCAGTTTTAAGTAATTTATCGGAATCTTCATCTTTGGTTTTACTCTTCATCTCATCTAGGATAACCCAGACATCTTTGATGAGACCCTCCAAAATGCCGATTTCAGACTTTGTGGGAGTCTCGGCTTCGACGCGACTAGAAAACTGGGCAATCGATTCTTTTGCCTCTCGGATCATGGTCTCCAGGGCTCCAATGTGCTCAGGAGTAGCGACCTGGTCCGGTGAAGGGAAGACAAGTTCATCGATCTGGGTCTTCGCACTCAAGAGTAACTGCTCGAGAATCTCAATATCCTTCTTTCGAGCCGTCTGATTGTTCTCGTCGCTTTGTTGAGTACTCATCTCACCCATGGCAAGCTGAACTTCGTTAATCGCAAGAAGGACTTCATCAAGGTGTGAGCGCTTGAGAGTATCCTCGGAAGCTTCTGCGGCATGAGGAGTAGTTTCAATGGCCTCGATCTTGTCATGAAGCTCAGTAATAAGCACTTTCAGACCGTCAATGTCAGGTCCAATGCTGGGCTCGTTTGCCAGGATGAGTTCACCGCCGCGGGCGGTACTGGTATCATCCAGTTCTTTGTTGGAATCACGGAGAGAATCCATTTCAAGCTTCACATCTGCGAGACCATGTTTGATGGTATCGAGAATCTCGGAGCTGTCGAACTCAGTTGGCTTCTCCAATAGTTTCTTCAGGTCGTTACGGATTGAGTCAACACTATCTCCGAATGCCTCGAGGAGCTCACTTGTCGCGGACATCGTGGTTTCGTTGCCGTCTGTACGCGACGTCTCCTCGCGCAGGGTGTCGAATTGTTCACGGAGTGCGGATATGATCTCGTCTTTCTCAGCACCAGGTTCGGCACGAACCACACTCATCTCCATGCGCTCACGGAGGCTCTCGAATTCATGCTTGATCGTATTGACAACATCATCGCCGGGGTCATTCTTGTGGCGATCAGCAGCCTCTCGAATAGCATCCAATATCTCATCTTTGTCTTCAGTGGCATTATTGCGTAGGAGTAGAGTGGTGATGGTTCCCCGTAGGTGCTCGAACTCTTTTTCCATGGCGTCCAGAAGCTCAGGTGTATCAGGAATGCCTCGCGGCGCATTCATAAGCGTTGAATCTGTAATGGTCTTCTCCATATCAGCGTGGAGAAGTCGGAATCCCTCTTTCACCGTGTCAATTACTTCTTCCTTGCCGGATAGATCGGCCACAGTAACCACGTAAGTTTCGATCTCCTTGCGAACGATATCGAGGCCATCCTTGATGGCGTCGAGGACTTGCTCGGTATCTCTTCCACCGGCGGCCGAGTATTGCTTAAATTCCTCTTTCATGCCTTCGAATAAAGATTGGAGGCGTTCTGTCATCTCCTCCCCAACGTTGGTATTTGCGGTACTGATAGCCTCGTTGAGACCGGAGGTGATTGCCTCCATGAGGTCGTCCTGGTTGAGCTCAATCTCCCGGGTGATCGAATTGCCATTGTCAATGCCTTCTGCAATGGCAGCCAAAATTTCCTCGCGTGAGATGGAGGGCTCTTGGACGTTGGTGCTGAGCGCTGACTGCTGGCTGCTTGCCGAGGCTTCAATACCCTCAGCGATAGCACTCATAATTTCCTCCTTGGAGACGCTAGGCTGACCATTCACGCCGAGCGAAGCCTGGGACTGCTCAATACCTTCGACAATCGCATTAATAATCTCCTCCCGGGAAAGAGTGGGCTGCTGATCGTCACTGTCTTGCTCAGGCAGTGTAAGAGCACGTGAAACAGAGTTACTCGAGTTCTGAATGCCATCAGCAATGGCGTTCATGATCTCATCCCTGGAGATATTCGGTTCTTTTGACAAGTGCTCCATGCCTTCCAAAATGGCACCCAGGATCTCGTCTCGAGAAATATTAGGCTCCCCGTCGTTGTTGGGGGAAGAACGTGAGTGTTCGATGGCATCCACGATGGCGCTGAAAATCTCTTCACGAGAGGGCGTCTGCTGGACGTTGGTACTGAATGCTGATTTCTGGGCATTCATTGAACTTTCAATGCCCTCGGCAATGGCATTCAAAATTTCATCACGAGAGATGTTCGTGTGAGCAGTAGCAAGAGCTGATTGTTGAGCATCGAAGGCTTCATTGACCGCATTCATAACATCATGGCGGGAAATGCGTGGCTCATCCATCTCTCGAGCCGCAGTGAAATGGGCTTCGAGGCCATCAGAAACGGCATGGACAATCTCGTCGCGGCCAAGGCCAGAGTCGTATGAGTCCTTGCTCAGTGTGCTTTGTGTCATGGAGCCGGCCAATGCGCTGAGGATTTCGTCCCGGATAGAATTTAGTTGACTGACATTGTCTTCATCCAAAGGCCTGGAGGTGCTGTGGTTGCCCATTGCCCCAGTGACAGCTTCAATGATATCATCGCGGATGGAGTAGAGGTGATTGACGTGGTCCTCATCCAACGTCTTAGGCCCTGTGCTGCTGATGTCCATCATTCCATTAATTGCTTGCAGAATCTCATCCCTAATGGAGTACATGTGATGGACATGACCTTCGTCCAACTCCTTGGAGCCTGTGCTATTCGTAGCCATTGCTCCGACGACTGCTTGAAGTATTTCGTCACGGAGAGAAGTCAGATGACTGACGTGGTCGTCGTCCACAGATTTGGGACCTGCGGCATGGCTTGTCACTACCTCAGTAATGGCTTCAATGATCTCATCGCGAACAGAGTGGAGGTGATTGACATGGTCCTCGTCCAAAGACTTGGGCTGCATATTGTTCGTTGCCATTGTCCCAGTGACCGCATCGAGAATCTCATCGCGGATCGAATAGAGATGATTGACATGTTCCTCGTCTAAAGACCTCGAACCTTCGGTATGGCTCGCCATAGCTTTGGAAACAGCATCGAGAATCTCGTCGCGCATCGAGAGAAGATCGCCGACGTGTTCCTCGTCAAGAGATCTAGAGGCAGACTCGGGCTGCTTCTCCAAGCATTCGCGGATGGTCAAGATGATCTCATCCCGAGAGATGCTTGGCTGATGCTCGATTTGTGGAGGAATGAACTTCTGCATGCCGTCCTCAACGGCTGCGAGAACCTGGTCGTAGGTGACCGTCTGTTCATTCTGGGGCTGGTAAGACTTGAGACCTTCTTCAAGGCATGTGAGGATCTCGTCTCGTTCCAAGCCAAAGTTGTTGAACTCGATTTCGGGCTTGTAGGTCTCCCAGGCTTCACGAACAGTCTCGAGGATATCTTCTCTGTCCATTCCAGCACCTCGCGAATGGGCTTGGGGTTGAGGTAGTTCAAACTCATCGAGTGCTTTTTTCACAACAGAGTAGATTGCGGCACTGTTCATGGTTGATCTGAATTCGGACAAGTCGGACGACTGCTGCCGACTCTCATTGATAGTAGCAGCCAGCTGCTCTTTGAGGTCGTCCAGGCTGCGGTTGACAATGGCGGAAACTTCCTCTGGGCCAGCGGCTCTAGGCTGCTCCTCGGGCTCATCATTGGAACGGGAACTCTCGATCTCGTCTAATCGGCGAGCAAGTTCTCGACCCATGCCCAGAACCTCACCTCGTAGTTCACGTACCAACGATTTCACGCCGTTGGTCATTCCACCTCCTTCGATGACGCTATTCTTGACACTCCTAAGAATTGCCAGAACTTCTTCCGGGTTATTGGGTGAAGAGCTACCCTCCTTCTCAGAGTTAGAAAGGTCTAGTGCACGTACAGTTTCAGGGTGCACGGATCCCATTGACCCAGATCGTCTCGGCTCGGAGGAGGCATTCCCAGATTGGATATTATCGGTATTGGCGCCCCTACGGTAAGATCGCACGAGGGCTTTGCTTGCAGGATCCTCTTTGACGAGATTGAGGATCTCCTCGAGCATAGCAGTGACCTTATTATCGGAATCTTTGTCCGAAGCGCTAGTTGCTGGTCGAGATTTGATTTCCTCAACGACCTCTAAGATCCTTTCCTCACCTTCCTTAGTTGCCATCTCGCGCAATACCTTTTCGAGCAAAGCAAGGGCTGCGGAACCGTCGGAAATCGGAGCAGGTGAGACGCAAGACTCCCGGTCAAATGCGAATGGATTAGGGCTAGGCATGCGAGGCACGGAGTAGCTCCTCTTCGAAACTGGACTATCCGAACCCTTGGCGTTAGGCCCATCACCACCCTTGAAAAGATTGCTGAATTCAAACCTTGTAGCCTCAGCGTCCAGGTACTTGTTTGTAAGATGAGAGGACAGATCCTTCAGACTCTTGCGAATGTCTTCATCGCGTGCGTTGGTTGCCGCCTTGAGGCTAACCAGGTCGGTGGCATTGTCTTTGCTGCGTCGGCTCAAATTCATCATCTCACGCTGCAAACTGCTTGCAATGTCCGTGAGACTGTGGATTTGATTTGAGAGGGTGTCCATGCTTGCATTCTTTGTGGGATAAGCTTGTGGCTCAAATGGCCCAGCGATCATTTTTGGCGGTTTGGAAGGTGATGGAGGGTCGGGTTCTAGAGGTAGCTGCATATTTTGCAGAGCCAACATTGTAGCTGAGGTTGGAGTACTCTCTCCCAATATTGGCTTGGATAAGTACCGACTCGAAACGGAGTATTTCATCTCGCGGTCCACATCTTGACGGAGCACTGGCGAACTGGTTGACTTGGTAGGGTCGCGCGGCTTGGTCCCATCAATAATCGTCGCACGAAGAGGGCGCTCTGGGGATCTGTTATCAAGGTAATTCAGAAAGTCGCTGCGCGCATCTTGTCGGGTATCTTCAGGCTGTAGTGACTGCATGCGCTTGTGCTGGCCTTTGACCAACGACCTCTCTGGCGAGGAAGACTTGAGTGGCATAGGATTTGTTGTGTAAGAGCTCGGCGCATTATCGCTAGGTCTCTCTGTAAATTTTGCGGCCACTGCTTGAATGTTGGGAGAAACATTGGACCTCGTCGCAGGGCTCATCGGACTCATCGAACGAGGATTCATTGGTAGCGGTGGAGGCGCACGCTCGGGATCCGAACTGTCCCACCTGCGTAGACCGCGTTTTAGCATTTGTTTGAAATCACCCATGGGTTCCGCGAAACAAGAATCAGAAGGCGTTAGTTGCGAAACCTACATTGGAACTTTGGACTCGGAGTATGTCAGTGAATGCCGGACCAATTCCCGGTCACGGGGGGTATCCTTCTCTGGGGACACCATGATGTCTTCGTGAGTGGATTATCCAGATGTCTCAGAGAGGTATTGACAATATGGATGGAATGTATGTAGGGTATGTGTAGAATGCGTTCAAAGTAAAAACAAGGTCGTCAAGGAGGAAACGCTGGAAGAACAAAACAAAGCTAACAATCTCAGAGCTCGGTAGAGGAGAGAAAATTACCGGGAGATCAGCTTGATAAGTGGAAAGCAAGTGGGGATGAGGAGAAAGAGGAGCTACGCAGTCTTGTATACATCACTCACGGCCCTAGCAACCGGGGCAACTGCGATCGTCATGTAAACACAACCTGAGTCAGCGGAATCAAGGCAGGCGGTGAGCAGGACTGGGCCGCACCTGCCCTACACCGCCAAGGCTGGGCACAACATGCAGATTATGTCATCATCTCCTCCGGCCCCGGGGCTCAATGGGGAAACTATCCCCAAACAGGCTAGTCGCCATCTGTCGGTAAGTCAACCAATCAGTCCACAACACACAAATCGCTACTGTGCCCTGAAACCCTCTACCTCACATCCGCAAAAACGAATACTTCGATCTTGACCGTTCCGTATCTCGACAACCAGCCATCCTCGCCGCCCCCGGGACCTTCACAAAATGAAGTGTACGTCTTCACCATTCGACTCCCCTTACGATTTATATGCTGACAGATATGTTACAGTCATGAAAGTGGGCCGTGTGGCCATCATCACCCGTGGCCGCTACGCCGGTAAGAAGGTACGACAAGATCCTGATCCTCCCCGAAATTGAGCACGAGAATAGAAAGAGGCGAACGACCTGCAAGCGAAAGACTCGAGATTTGAAAGAGCACAATGCACTATGGAGGAACTGCGCGACAAGAAAAAAATTCGGAGTGCTAATCAGGCATTTTTGTTCGAATTTATAGGTCGTCATTGTCCAGCCTGTTGATGCTGGCTCCAAGTCGCACCCCTTCTCCTACGCCATTGTTGCCGGTATCGAGCGTTACCCCCTCAAGGTGACCCGTGGTATGGGCAAGAAGCTTGTCGACCGCCGCAGCCGCATCAAGCCTTTCATCAAGGTCATCAACTACAACCACTTGATGCCCACCCGTTACACTCTCGAGCTTGAGGGTCTTAAGGGTACCATCACCAACGACACCTTCAAGGAGGTCTCCCAGCGCGAGGACGCCAAGAAGACCATCAAGAAGGCTCTTGAGGACCGTTACACCAGCGGAAAGAACCGTTGGTTCTTCACTGCCCTGCGTATGTTTGGCCCAGGATATACATATATGCATATTGGAACTTGCACTAATTATCCGAAACAGGTTTCTAAACGGTTTCCTTGGGCGTTTTGTCGTTTTGAGCGCACTGGTCTAGGTGAAGGCGAGGTCGAAAAGCCATCGAGAACATTCGGTCCCTGCGAGCATGGGATGGGAAAACATACGCCATAGCTGGAAACAGATTCGTGAATGTATCGATGAACTCCAGTTTTCACGGGGGCGCCACTTCCATACCTGGTGTCCGTCTGAATGAAATGGAAAATGAACAATTATTTCAAAATCAATGTTGTCTATTACCTGAAAACTGGTCGACATCTTCCTCTTTCGCATAGGCCGGGAAGAATTTTGGTCTGTCCTCTCAACACAGATCATTCCCACGCCTGGATGACCCTGTAGCTATGTGGTTTGTCTCAGGGCATTCAATCTCATGGTTTCATTGCTACGATCAATGTAACCATGTCTATCCGTAACGTGCAATCGTAGTTTTCAAAAAGCAATTACTTACATAGGCCTCTCGTCTAGTTTCAAAGAAGACTCTAGATTCCCGATCACGACGAGGATGTCGAGGAAGCCCCCAAAGGTCTAGGTCCTCATGTCCATGCTCGCGGATACAATTATAGATTGTCTTCCTCCACAGTCCATATGCATACCACATGTGAACCCCACACCCGCCAAGACATAACATACCTCAGCGATATGGGCATCAGCGCTTGAGTATTCAACACTAGCAGGATTAAATCTTGAACTTATTTCTAGCATATAGCATGCATGCTTGTGCTGATATCCCACTGCTATTTCAGCTTTGACAGCGCTCGAGTATTTCTATCTCAAACAAAGAGTCGCTTTGATTCCAAGTTCCAGTGAACAACTGAAACATTCTGATCTCTAGTAAACAAGGGGACAATGGTCTTTGAACGATATTCTCGATTTAATCTTCGAATAAGAGAAACGCATTCTTTATCTTCATTGTCTTCTTTTTACCTTAGTCTCCACGGGCCCAGAATAGGATATTTCATTCATTCCATACACAGTATTTATATAGACCACTGATCTCTTATTTCAATCAAGTATTCAAACACCCAGTAGGGTCCATACCAAGCTGCAAGTCAACAGATCGCCAGCCATCTAGTTCTAACCATGGCCATTCCTTTAAGAACCATCCGCGAGCACGCTAGGGAGAAATGGTTGGACAACGAGGTCCATCGACACTACAACATGCCCATGGTAGCCGTGCGAGCCACGCCTCGTATCCTGATGCACTGCAACGTGTACCGCGACACTACTTCCCTTCTGAAGACATCTGTCAGTATCGACAAGTGGGTCAATGCCGAATATTTCATCTGGGAGATGTCCGCAGGGCTAGCTGACAGCGGCGTAAACCCACAGTGGACGGAATTTTTCGAAGAACAATACCAGGAGCAGTGGATGCAGATCCAGAGCGAGTTCAAGGGCATAGCCGATCTACCTGAGAGATTCCTTCACGAGGTTCCGGTCCCGCCCTTCCAGGTTGCAGAGGTGAGAATCAAGACTAACAAATTCCCGTGTTATTGGCGGCTCAGTGCGAATACAGGCCAACACATGATTGACACCAGCTTTTGGCATCTTTGGAAGTTGATTCTCCAGCAAGACTCGCTCGTCGTTGGTCCCTTTGAGGTTATTCTTAAAGCACCCTTGCGTACTCCTGCCGGGGAGGATTCTGTCCATCCTTGGAATATGTCTCTATCCAATGACCACCCTGGAGTTGTCAGTCGTGATGATGTTTCGTATCTTCGCTGGAATCGTGCGCGCAATGATCCCGCTCCATTAGATTGCAGATGCCTCTCTGAAGCGCAGCGAGATAGTATCCCTTCACCTAGCCGCAGCCGATCACGCTCTACCTCAGCTATTAAGGACTTGCCGCAACGCATGCGAGATGATCTGTTTCTTTAACATAGTAGGGAGTACCTGGTAGGTATTTATCAGGTCTCCTTTTTTTTCGGCCGTATATACGGAGTACTACATATATATTTCTTTTATCTTCCCCCACCACGAATCTTCTACTTCACATACAGTCTACTACGCTAGTATTTCTCAAAAATACCATACATATTAAGAAATAAAGGTTGACCAAAGTAAATACTAATATAAACTGATACTATCATGAGGGTGGGAATATAGAACGAGAGCCTGCATGAGAGTGCATAGCTGTCGGGTGCAATAGCCGATTGACTCCAACATAGTACAACATAGTAAATCATACGATACCAAGAATATGTGAAACTCGGAGTTCCTTTCAGGTGGAGTCTATTCCGTACACAACAAAGCGACCACAAAATACATCCCCTCATGCGCGGCATCATGTCCGACAGCTGATTCCCTTGGCACACATGTTGGCGTGGTAATGCAACAACTGCCAAGCCAAGGGCAAAGCGCTTCGAGAATATTTGACAGATAAAACGCCTGAAAAAATAACCCGTATTCGCCTGATTTCATGTGATAATCATCTCAGTCGACCAATTGATTTACAAGGCAATACAATTGAATCCTTGACATCGAGAGCGCCAACGCTAAGTGACGCCTCAGTTTGACATGTGAAATTGATACATTAGCTAACAACGGATCACGGGCCTCCGCGACGCTAGATGTCCATATGTAAGCATCTTCATGCCAATCGCCACTCCATTTTAGACAAGTAGGGGAGTGGCGTGCTTTGCCACAGTTTAAATGGGGATTTTCGACTACACAATATTCTAAAGGCCCCAAAAGCAATGATAGGATGTATTTTTTTGGGCGGTATTCTGGGTAAAGGGTACATGAACAGAAAAGGCAGAGTTTGTACTTTGTAGATGTCAAGACAACCGTTGCTGGTCAAGACCCACGGTATACAGGGATCTGCACAGTAGCTTAATCGTAATCGAGTGGGTTGCTAGTCGATCGGCGTAATCCCGAGCAAAAGAGAAAGAAGAAAAGAAGGGAAAAAACGGAGGGGGGCAAAAAAAAAACCATCGCCCCGGCTTAGAATTTCGATGTCCATGGCATAACTATCTGTGTCGACATCAGTTTTTCATGTGCCGACCACAATGGAAAGCCTGGCCACCTTCTCTCGGCTTACCCTGATAGTCGTACCGAATACATAACATTCCGCATTCCGTTAGCCGCATTGGGAACACCAGTTAATATGTACGAAGTGCCAAGGTACCTTCTAAGTTCTATCTCTCAGATAAACCATCTGGACCAGTAAATATAGTAGTAGTGTATGCCTATCGAACGCAACCGTTTCATAGAGTCACATCAAGCGCCGAAATTCGGATGACCCTGCGAATCACTTCGCCCGTCCCATGCCCGGGGTCGGCAGAACGATCTCCAATCCGGCTAGGACCTTGCGCAATCTTGCTCCCCCTACGGAGTACATTTGGACCGGAGGCTGTTACGTATTCCCGAGAGTAGAAGCGGTTCGAGGGGCCGACGGTCAGGCCAATAGGCGGGGACATGACTAGCATCACCAATGTACGTGCAGGTGGGCTAGACTCATATAACTTAGAAGCCGAAGCATCAGCCATATTCTGGCAAACTAGCCCCGATCTGCGGCCATCTGTCACCGTCTAGGCGGTTTTCTTATGCAGATAAGCAGTCTCGTCCAACGAAAAACGGTGGAACGGACGAAAACAAGGTTTATCTTGCGAAGTCTCCCTTCATTTGAGTTCAATGGATAAATTCTGGGGAATATCAAACCCTGGGAAGCACCTGGGAAGGTAGGAATTGACCGTGGAAGAGAGATAGAACAGATCATTGATAGACACCCAAGTGGAACCACCTTTTCACAGACCCGCAATCACATGCGAAAGCACCTTATCAAGAATCCATCGATTGGGATTTTTCAGGATTTTGGCAATCGAAACAAGTATATTTGGGATACGTCAACTATAATTAGCCATGCAATTGCTCGGCCGGTTTCAGTGCATGTCCAAAGTCAATGGATTGGCGTGGGATCACTTAGAATCGGCCATTGAACCCTTGTCTTCGTAAAAAAGATGGGAAAAAGAAGATAGCAAAAGAATATAGCAAAAGAATATAGCAAAAGAATATAGCAAAAGAATATAGCAAAAGAATATAGCAAAAGAATATCGCAAAGAAGAAGTAAGAATCCCAAGTAGAGGACTGAAATAACCCGAGAATACGATGTATGGCAAATGATGCGATTGCGGTAGGACCCATTGCATAATGACAGCGCAATCACATGTGAAAACCCTTTTTTTTCTATACAACCCAATTTATTCCTCCCTCCCTCTCTCCCTCTCTCCCTCTCTCCCTCTCTCCCTCTCTCTTCTCTTCTGTATTCTTATACTATATCCTACTCAACTGACAATCTTTATGCCCCACGCAGAAGTAAAAATGGGTGAACCGGTCGTCAACGGCGAGAAGCACTACTCTCAGTTCCTTGACGTATGTACCCCACTACAGCCTAACAGAGAATGATCCTAACATTTCCAAATCTAGCATCTCACTTCTTATCCCATCATCTCCGACTCTATCTCCTACTACAAGGGCAATCCCTACGGAGCCAAGTCTCTCGAATTCGCTGACCAGGGCTACACCCGTCTCGCCAAACCCGTTCTACCCTACTTCTCCACTCCATACAGCTATGTCGCTCCCTACATAGCCCGCGCCGACTCCCTCGGTGACAAGGGTCTGACCAAAGTCGATACCCGCTTCCCGATCTTCAAGGAGGACACCCAGAAGCTACGCGGCTCCATCTACAACAGTGCCTCGCTGCCTGTCCGCGTCGCCGGCGATGTCAAGCACCATGTCTTCGATGTGTATGGCTCGGAGTACAAAAAGTGCGGTGGTGATGGTGTCTTTGCTTCGGGCAAGGCGGTTGTTACTACCAGCTTGGTTCTGTCGCAGGAATCCCTGGCTTGGGTTAGCACTTTCCTCCAGAGTAAGAAGGAGGAGGCGAAGGAGGTTGTCAATGAAAAGTACAACCACTGATTTTAGATCTCTTTGACCTTTGGAGCGTTCGTTTTCTTTGTTTTTTTTTTTCCTTTCTCTTTTAGAGAACATAATACCTCATCGCTGCTCTGTGTTGCCTTGCCCACTTTCTACTTAGTTCACGTTCCCAGTATCGACGTAATTATACCTCGACGCTAATTCATTGGATTTCGTCATATAACTCTCCATATACGTAGACGTCGAAAATGATGTCTTTCTTCAGTAAATTATCAAATATAATCCTCGAAGGAACCTAAAATAAAGAAACTGACCTCGAAACGCATCTGCTGAAACAAAGAACCATCGATAAGGGCTACGCACAGACCAACCCCAATGGGGTAAAATCAGTCTATCGCGTCGCGTCTCTCCAAACCCACCTGCAATTCACCATCACACCTACATAATCAAAATGTCATCGAATCGCAAAAGACGCGTATGCAAACTCAACCCTTAGTTTATCCACCGACTAACCCTCTTCCCTAGACCAACGAAGCACCCGAGACCGAGGTAACCCCAAGCGCTCGTCGCAGAAGACAAGCCGAAGAACCCGCCTCATCACCCGCAGCATCCAGCGACGATGACGAACCCAGCGCACCGACCAGCACCGACGCAATGGTCAAGAAATTGGTGCGGCTCGCCCTAGCTAGCGAGTATTCGCGGCTCCCGATCCGGCGCAACGACATCAGCGCCAAGGTGTTAGGCGAGCACGGCTCGCGACAATTCAAGCTAGTTTTTGATCAGGCGCAGCGGGAAATGAGACAGCGCTTTGGTATGGAGATGACCGAGTTACCGGCGCGAGAAAAAGTCACCATTAGCCAGCGACGGGGTGAGTTGGATTCCATGTCTTGCTTTTCTTTGTTGCAGACCCATGCTATTTCTAAGTATTCACTACTGACATGGCATGGCATTCCTGTACTACAGCCGCGCAGAAAATTGAAAAGCCTTCTTCGGGTAACAAGTCCTGGATCGTTACTAGCACCCTGCCGCTCGCATACCGTTCCCCCGATATCCTCATTCCGACAAAGGCACCCTCCCTCTACACCGAAAGCACATACACCGGCTTGTACAGCTTCATTATTGCGTTGATTCTGCTGAACGGCGGTTCGCTGGCTGAGCAGAAACTTGACCGGTACCTGACGCGCACAAACGCTGAGGTTGCTACGCCGGTTGACCGCACGGATAAACTGCTGCAGCGGCTATGCAAGGAGGGGTACATTATCAAGACGCGGGAGATGGATGGCGGCGAGGAGGTGATTGAGTATATTCTTGGTCCGCGGGGTAAAGTTGAGGTTGGGGCTAGTGGTGTGGCGGGTCTTGTGCGAACTGTGTATGGGAAAAACAGGGGTTCCCACGAGAACTTGACTGAATTCCAGAGGGAGGACCTGGAAGACTTCGAGGGGAAGCTCGGGAGGAGCCTTGGGATTGAGCCGGCGACCATACAAGCTAATGGGGCGGATGATGCGAGCGATGTGAATGGGAACGGGGAGGAACGTGAGACGCCGCGGAGCTCTGGGCCTAGGCGGTCTTCGAGGCGTGCTCCTGCCCAGGAAGAGGAAGATTCTGATGAGGAAGAGTATGAGGAAGAGTGATTGATATGTCTACGATTGGCACGCCGTGATAACATTGGATACATACTACATGTAGGTATCTGCAACTTGATACCCAAGAATATTTGTGTTTTTAATCTTTGAAGGTCATTACTATATGTAGGCAAATTCTTCCTTCGAGCATATCCTTCATCTTCACACCTGATACTAGAGAGCATCATGTACTCATCGAGGGAGAACTTGGCTATATGATTATAGTATGATTTACAGATTTTGGATGGTAACACTTTAATAATCATGATATAAATCGGTATTCATTGGTAGGAGCTTCTCTTCGTTAGACTATATACGCATGCACATGAACTATGAGATGTACACAAATGACAAAATATATGTTTCCATGTCTCGTGGCGATCGATCGGGGTCGATCCTACAGAAATAAGTCTAGAACGGGCTTTTACATCGAACTAGGATGGAACTGATATGTATTTGGGCCCCAGATTGAACATGGTGCTATTCCTTGCTTGATATCGCTTGATATGAAGCCTATTTGAGGATCATAGGATCGTGATGCCCTCTCATTTAATCGGGTTACAAAGATTGGAATAAGAATTAATGTTATCGGTATAGCAGAAAGAAAGAGAGGAATTGAAGCAAATATTTTACAGTCTTGACAGAAGGTACATAGTCTATGGGTGTACTACTGTCTATCAGGCGTCGCGCCAAGGGCTAGCTTCAGGCACATCGCACACATCCCGCGATCTATAGGCTAAGACAAGGAAATACAACATCTAAGGTACTTTAATTACCGATTAGTTATTGCCTACATTATTTATATATAAGTCTACAAGGAAAAGAAATTGTCATAAAAATGTGGTAGTCATTTCTACTACACAGCAAATCTACCTCGATCCAGTAATTGTTTTTGAAAAGAAAAAATCATCACGGCATAATGAGCATCATCCGAGAATAATTTACTTCTTGCCAGCCTTGGCAGCGGCCTTGGTGACCTTGCCAGCACCACCGGCGTTCTTCTCGACGGACTTGATGACACCGACGGCAACGGTCTGGCGCATGTCACGGACGGCGAAACGACCGAGAGGGGGGTAGTCGGTGAAGGCCTCAACACACATGGGCTTGGAGGGAACCATCTTGACGATAGCGGCATCACCGGACTTGATGAACTTGGGGGAGGTCTCGGTGGCCTTACCGGTACGGCGATCGATCTTCTCGAGGAGCTCAGCGAACTTGCAAGCAATGTGGGCAGTGTGGCAATCGAGGACTGGGGCGTATCCAGCGCCGACCTGACCGGGGTGGTTCAGGACAATGACCTGAGCGTTGAAGGAGTCACAGGCGGCAGCGGGGTCGTTCTTGGAGTCGGAAGCGACGTTACCACGGCGAACCTCCTTGACGGAGACGTTCTTGACGTTGAAGCCAACGTTGTCACCGGGGTTACCCTGCTTGAGCTGCTGGTGGTGCATCTCAACGGACTTGACTTCAGTGGTGACGTTGGCGGGGGCGAAGGTGACGATCATGCCGGGAGAGATGATACCAGTCTCGACACGACCGACGGGAACTGTGCCAATACCGGAGATCTTGTACACATCCTGGAGGGGAAGACGGAGGGGCTTGTTGGAGGGACGGACGGGGTTCTCGATGGCATCGATGGCCTCGATGAGGGTCTTTCCGGTGGTCTTGCCAGCCTTGGTCTCCTTCTCCCAACCCTTGTACCAGGGGCAGTTGGTGGAGGGCTCGAGCATGTTGTCGCCGTTGAAGCCGGAGATGGGGACGAAGGGAACGGACTTGGGGTTGTAGCCGACCTTCTTGATGAAGTTGGAGGTCTCCTTGACAATCTCGTTGTAACGCTCCTCGGACCACTTGCAGGTGTCCATCTTGTTGAGGGCAACGATGAGCTGCTTAACACCGAGGGTGAAAGCGAGCAGAGCGTGCTCACGGGTCTGGCCATCCTTGGAGATACCAGCCTCGAACTCACCAGTGCCGGAGGCGATGATGAGAATAGCGCA